GATCATAAGTTCTCACTATTTGTTGGCATGTATTCCATTTAAAGACTCTATAGACTTTGGTTTATGCCTATAATCGGCTAAACCATAGCTCTGATACCATTAAATGTAACACCCCCAACCCGTATCCAACCCGGATACGAGTCAGAGATATTACATTGACTTTTAAAACACAACTCATTACAAATAATAGTAAAATACTTGAACTTATATTACGAAAAATACAATAATATACATATGGTAATATAAGTTTACCAAAATATTTAGAGCATACACAACTTAACTCTTTAATTACATGCCAACATCTATTTTCATAACAAAATGACCTACTGATTAAGTTACTTCTGATCTGATAGTTGCAGGAGTAATGTTATCCAGCTGCTTAACCTTGATCGTCTACTTTATTGGATCCTACGTGTGAAACACTCACACGCTAAGTCATCGACTCAATGAGGCAATATAATAATAATATCAATAAATATAAAGTAATTGCCAAAATGAGATGGGTTGTAATAATAAGATGTATGTAAACAATGCAATAACCAAAACCATGTTTCTTACACATATATTTATCAAATTCACATTCATAAGTTCGCCTTAGTAAGTTCATTAGCCCATGGTACCATACAGAGAACCTAAGGTATGTGAGTATTGTGAGGTTGTGCACTATGATGTCACCACAGCTCATATAATTGCACCTAAGTGCCACGTAGAATTACACCGGAGTGCCGCGTAGAATTGCACCGGAGTGCCGCGTAGAATTGCACCGTAGTGCCATATAATAATGTCCATAAGGACCACATATCATTCCTTAAGAATCATATACATATGCCAAGGATCAAGTATGTGTCTCACCAGACTTCACACATGTTCCAAAGAATATATATATGTCCCGAAGGACCACATATCATTCCTTAAGAATCATATACATATACCAAGGATCAAGTATGTGTCTCACCAGACCTCACACATGTTCCAAAGAATACATATATGTCCCGAATGACCACATAGACCCTCTACCCTTGGCATGCCAACTATACCTATAGTTCTCATTTACATAACATGGGCTTTCACAATTTATCTAATTTATATCACGTAGACATATTATTTCCATACCTTTATCATATAATTTATATAACATTTTCTTTCATATTCATGTCCCATAATGCATATGGTATGGATTCATGTCATATATCATCATATGAACTACGATCATGTATCAAACTATTGAATCTAGACTTATCACAAGTCTAGAACTGAATAAAATACATATTCATGCTATGCATATGCACTCACCTAGATTTCTTTGTCTTTCCCTCGATTGATCCTACTTGTCGATGATTCCGGAACTCGATTAGGCTCAATATCTACATAAGAAAAATTTTCAAGATGATTATCAGATGCCTAAGTCTTGAAATTAACCTCTAATAGCCTACCAATTTAAGGGATTTATAGTTTAGTCTCTCTTCTTTTTTCTTTTTTTTTATTATGGGGGAATCGGTTCCCCCTGGGGGTATCGATTCCCCTCTAGCATTCTGGAAATTCATATTCGTTTGAGGGGGGATCGATTCCCCTTGAATGGATACCGATTCCCCTAGCCCAGAAATCCCATTTTGAGCTCGAAAATCACCTTATTTCAGCTCAAACCTTCCTATTTCACTTCCTTTAATATTCCTAACTTTAATACACATACTTAAACTTATTTCTACTCCATAATCACTACTTTAACTCCAAATCTAGTCATTCCTATGTAATTGCAAAAATTATACTAGTTTTGCAACATGTTCAAATTCCTATTCTAACACTTCCTATCCCTTAATTAACTTGATGACAAGTCAAATCTCACTTCTAATTCTTATTATGAACTCTAATCTAAGATTTCACTTTTATACTTCATTTCTTTAATTCTTCATATACTTCTCATCTTGAGGTTTTAAAACAATTTAAACTTCCTTTAAGCTTAACTATTGCCTAATGGTCATGAATCAACCATAAATTCATCAAGAATTTCACTAACAAGAGAATCTTACCTTAGCTTGGGTCTCACGTATGAAGAAGAATAAAGAAGAAGAGGACTCTGGAAGCTTGTTTTTAATTTCCTATACTTCCACGTGGTTAATATAATACTAACCCCAAATAATTATATTGCTATAAAAAAGACCATTTTATCCTTCTAATCTTCCTTCTTTATAATTCAATCCTACACAAAATAACTCAAATAAGTCATTGAACTTTTCCATCATTCTACTTTAAATCACCAAATGCTGAAACTTTACAAATTAATCACTAACCCTGCATGGAGGATGTTACAATGCACATATCAGAATCATAAATCAAATAACATTTTAGGAGTCACTTCTTACCATAGTAACTCCAATACTGGCTCATCGCAAGCCAATGTTCGTTCAATAACATAAGTACAATTAAAATTGCACTCACCTTAGCCTTGTTTGCTTTGATTCAATCCTAAATCTTCGATTGTTCCTTAACTTGTTTAGGCTCAATTTCTACATAAGCATAATTTCCGAGACGATTATCAGAAGTCTAAACCTTATACTTGATGTTAATAACTCAGGATAATTTAATAAACCAAATCTCAGCTTTTCCTTTAGGAGTGTATCGATGCACTATGGGTGGATCGGTACACAAAATAGCTTCGAAATATCCATGCATCGATGCACCCCTTAATGCATCGATGCACCTACCCAGAAATCACTGTTTATTGCACGAAAATTCACTCTTTCAACTTCAATTCTTCAAGTTTCATTCCCTTTCATATTCTTAACTCAAATATACATGTTTAAACTCATTTATATCTATTTATTTCATCTTAAACCTCAAAATTCTATTCTCCTTATAGAAATCAATAATCATACTAAATTTTCCATGTTATCCAAACTTAATTCTAACACTTCTATCTTCTTATTCTCATAGATGACAAGTCAAATTTATCCTCCAAATTCATTTAAACCTTCTTATTCAAAATTTCACTTAGAAACTCATTTTCTTTAATCTATCATAACTCCTTTATCTTTTGATTTTAAGATAACTTAAGCTTTCTTTAAGCTTAGTTATCATCTAAGGATCAAAACCCATGCTTAAAATCAACAAACAATCAAGAAATTAGAGAACTCACCTTTGCTTTGAGTTTTCACGTGGAGAAGAGAAGAAGATGAAGAAGAGAATTGCTTTGAAGCTTATCTCTTCAATCATTTTCCACATGGGTATTATAATACCCATTAATTATTATTTAATTATTTTCCTTGATCAATTACTCATTTGCCCTTTGATTCCTTTAATATTTACTAACAACTTTCAGGAAATATCTCCACATAAATCATTAAACTATTCAACTATTCTACTTTAATCACCATATTCTGAAATTTTTACAATTTAGTCATTAACTCGTAGTTTGAGATGTTACACTTAAGAATGAACTATAAACACTCTAGGGTACTACAACCAAAACCTCTCTAAAACCCCACCATGGTCACCATAGCTAAAGCTTGAGATGACCGATTTGAAATGGAGCTCTAGATGAGGAGATTGTAGTTCTTACCTTCACAAATCCGGGCTAAGGCTGCTAAGCAATAAAGTTACCATCTTTGCGAGATTTGGAGAGGGAGAAGAAGAAAAGAAAATTTGAAGAATAAGACAAGGGAATGACTTTCTCTGCAACATATGCATCTTAAATGGAGATCAACCTTTTTTAAACAATGAGTAAATTACTCCCTTGGTCATCCTTAGTTTGCCCATAAATCAAACACCCTTTTAAACATCTTTTGGGCTCAACCCAAACTTAATTCCATGTCATACTTAACCCAAATGCTACCTAAGGGCTTATTACACTACTCTGAGCCCAACGGATTCACTCGAAACCACTAACATGATTTTAGGGTGTTACAACATATTTATCTTATATGATAAAATAATAATTTAAAAAATAATTGAAACAAATACTATTTTAAGTTTAATTTTCTTAAAAATGATATTCAATAAAAATCCAAATTTCTTTGCCTATATAACACAAAACAAATAGGGTCCAAATATAAAAATGGTCATTTAATTATAGAGCGCTACTTTATTAAGTTCAATGACTATTAAAAGTTATAAAATGATCTTTCGACTATATGAAGTTATTTTGTTGAATCATTCGACTATTAAAAGTTACAAAATGGTGACCAGATTATTTATATGTTTCAAACTCATCATTTTTCGTTAAAAAAATTGATGACATTCTGAGTTGGATGTTAATATGTTAGCTAAGATAAGATAGTCGTTTGAGATTTTGGGACCAAACTTTATCATATCACAGTTAACATGTTAATATCTAGCTTAGACTTAGACTACCTTCAATTTTTAACAGAAACAGTCAAGTTTGGAATATATGAATACTCAAGTGATCATTTTATAACTTTTAATAATCAGGGACTCAACAAAATAATGTCCTATAGTCAATAGATTATTTCATAACTTTTACTAATCGAGTGACTTAACAAAGTAGCGTTTATAGTCAGGGAACATTCATGTATTATACCCAACAAATAAATACTTAACCTAATGCACATAAATATACAAATTGCACAAAATAGTAATTTTCTCAAAGAAAAATCTTTCTTTTCTTAATACATTTTGGGTAAATTTTGCGTTTAGTATCTGAACTATCACTTTGTCCATTTTAATACCAAAATTTATTTTTTTCAAAACTATTCCTAAAATTTAGTTTTTGTTTCATTTTAGTACACTATTTAAATTTAACGATAAGTTTTGAAAAAATTGAAAGTTTAGGTACTAAAACGGGCCAAAACTGATAGTTTAGGTACTAAACACATTAATTTTTTCACGACGGGTACTAAAATGAAATAAAAACTAAACATTAAACATGCTTTTGAATAATTAAAAGCTTAGATACCAAAACGGATTAAAATTGATAGTTTAGATACTAAATACATAGTTTACCATATTTGTTTCTTAACTTTCTCTAAACTTTATATATATATATATATATATATATATTTCAAGATTAAAGCAAGGGAAGAGCGAGTGACAAAAGTTGCCCAGAAAAAGAAACAATCAGAATAACCAGCTAATAATATAAGCAAATGAGCATAACTCTACCAATGAAGCTGTTGTTGCCTTCAACAACCCCTACCGGATTCCCATATTCTTATTGCTCTTCTTTTTTCTCTTCCGCAAACCCTAATTTTAGTTTCTCCTCTTCTTCCCATCACTTGTGTACCTTCCGAAGAAACCCGCATTTTCTCTCCAAGAAAAAGGTATTCTCAATTAAGTTTTTCTCTTTTCAAGCTCTTCCTTCTGTTTCGTTAGGTTTTTTTTAATAAGAATAATAACTTGTTTTTGAATTTGGGGTTTTCAGTTTTCTGATTGCTTTTTTGTCTTGAAATTGTTTATGATGAAATGGCTGAATTATGAATCTATGGAGCCATTTATATAATTTCTTATGTATAGGGAGAATAACCTAAAAATGTCATTTTGATTGTTTATTCCCTCAAAAAGTTGTTGAAAATGGGGAGAATGTAGCATTGTCTGTGTGAGAATAGCTACATGTTCCTGTGAGAAAAAAAGAAATTAACACTTAGGTTATATCAGGATCTGCAACCTGAATGGGAATTGTAGATGGATGTGATTTGGCTTATCTCTGTCACTGACAGGGATGGTGCAGAAACTTATGTCTGGGTGTGCAAACTTAAAAGTTGTATACAAAAATTTAGGAGGTGCGGAGCTATAAAATTTTAGGGCTGTTAGATAATCAATAGAAAGTACAAAGAAAAAATATAAAATATAAGGGAATTTGAAAATTCTAGAGGGTGCGACCGCATCCATCGGTCCATCCCTGGTTACTGATGTAGATATTGTTGTAGTGTTGGATAGGGAATTATAAGGGTGTTCAATGAAGGTAGTACTCTTTAGATATGCTGTTTCGTTTTTAACTTCAACACATGCTTATATATGATGTATGAATACATAGCTATTAATATGGCGATCTAGTAAGTTAAAAATATTTTAATAAAAAAATGTATGTTTCATATTGGAGAAAAATCATATGCTGTTCTGGTTACCATTGGTGAGCAGGAGAAATTGCACCTCAAACCAAAATGAAGGGTGGTGAAAGGGGTCAGTTGATTTGTTCTTACGATCTTGTACTGGTTCTATTGATTATGACATCTTCATTTCTGTTCCACTCCAAATGTTTTAGTAGCTATTGGAAGCTGATGTCTTTAGGTTGTTTGTAGTGTGGGTGAGAGGACGATAAATTTTGAAAAAGTAAACAGTGGAGTGCATTCTTTCTGTGGAAAGAGAGAAAGAGAGAGAGAGAGAATGTTCTGTCAGACTGTCAGCAATTCTATTGTTGATTATTGGCAGGGCTACTTTCTTATCTGATTATTGCCTTTGAACTCCAAAATTTTAATAGAAATGCTTGTGTAATCCTGGGTGTAGTTTGTCAGCAATTTTTAATTTGCATGAAATAGGATATTTCCAAGGCATCGGTTTTGCATAATGTGTTTCATTAAGATCCCTTATTAAGTTATTGACGAGTAAAACGACACTCTAATTTGTTTATGCAAATACCCCTTGAGGTTCTTGCTTGTTAAAGTTAATTTTTGAGTTGCTTGGGCAAGAAAGGTTTGCACTCTTTATGAATTTGTTTAGTTGATTCTATAACTTTGTAAAATTTGCATCTAATTAATCAATCTTCCTGTATCTGTTATGTTATTATTATCTGGTGACAACAATCTAACCCACATCACATGGAGGGTAAAATAAAGGGGGTTTTTTACGCGGCCTCATCTTCTATAAAAAAAAACAATCTAACCCACATCACATTCTTTTTTGACAATTTTTTAAGTTTACGATAACAGTATTCAATCCCAGTTGTTGAATATGTTTAAATTGTATGATCTGCTGTGTGTAGATGAATCTCTTTCTATTCTTATATTTTGATTGAAGGATACTCAATTTTCAATATGTCTGAAAATTATAGTCTTTCTTGGTTGATCACCACTCTTTGTGGGCAGTTAGTTTTCACTAATGATTTACTGTCAGGGATTCTGTTTTTATTTACTGGTTTAGTGGCCTTGTGGACATAGTAGAACAGAGCAAGAGGGTGATGGCTATAGATATGACGAGGAGAATGTGGTTTGCTTATATGGTTCTGATGAAGATACTTGGACGCAAATTCCAACACAAGCCCAATCTCTTGTAGAGGGATCAGGGGCAGTTATGGTTTCGGAGATGAAACCAGCTCCTGATGTAGATTATTTGCAGGTATGTGATTTTTATATAGGACAATAGAACTTAAGTTCAATGTTTTTTATTTTTGCGAATGCAGTAAAGAACTGTGCCTGTACAATCAAAGCTCCTACTTTCCATGTAATTTATTGGTTATAACAGATTTTTTTCAAATGCCTTCACTTGTGTATCTTTCTTAGAGCCTTGTTTTATGATACAGCCCTGCAAGAACTTTTGGTAGCTTGTGAAATGAAAGTTTGGGAACATGATAATTTCTTTAACTTAATGTCTTTGGTTTAATTACTACTAAATGAGCAGAGGATATTTGGCCTTCTAATATTGACCTCTAATCATAAATGATATGTAATTCATGTCTTAGCCAATTCTTAATTGCAGTTTGAAAACATTTACTGATTTTTGCATTTTGGAATTTGTTTTGAGTTTGACTGCTAACTTTCTCTATGTGGTCATATATTTTGCAGGAGTTATTGGCAATTCAGCAGCAAGGGCCTAGAGCTATTGGTTTTTTTGGAACACGGAATATGGGATTCATGCACCAAGAGTTTATTGAGATTCTTAGCTATGCATTAGTTATAACTGTGAGTGCCTTGCTTCTAGTTTTTAATTGCCCTTCTATATGTGGCTCAATTATATGAATACTAGCTAAGTTGGTCTACGTCTTCAAGTCTTTTTTTCTCAAAGAAAAAATCTATTTTTCCCCACAAAATTATTTTGACCATGCTGCTAACATGGCTTGCAGAAAAACCATATTTATACATCAGGTGCATCAGGTACTAATGCAGCTGTCATCAGAGGTGCTTTAAGAGCAGAGAAACCAGAGTTGCTTACAGTAATTTTGCCACAGAGCTTGAAGAAACAACCGCCTGAGAGCCAGGAACTGTTGGAAAAGGTAAGAATGTGATAGTAGCGTTTAAGTCATTCTTAGGAAACTTGTCTGTGCTATTGATATGTTACGGCTTCGTCTGATGCTGCTAATTTCCTTGTGTTTTGTTAGATTTGTTTGTTTGAGTAAAAATTGTTGCATTTTATATCCTTAGAAGGAGACTATTGAAAATTGTGACCAGTTTCTTGAAACCTGAGAGGCTGTGCTATTAAACCTCTAGCTATTTTTTATTAAGTTACGTTGAGTGTTACTGATGCAATGCTGCTGGTCAATCACTGGAAGTCATAAATCAAATTGCTGTTGGTTTCATTTGAAAACGGTCTTATACTTGGGTTTTAATTACTTCACACTCAATGTAGGATGTGGCTTATGGTCACAGTTGGTTTCAATTATCTTGTCAGACTGTTTATTCGTAGGCTCGGTAACTTAATGATGACACTGCTTTTGAGTTGAGTACTCTGTAACTTAAGTGTCATTAGTTTCTGAATTTTTTATTAAGAAATTCATTTTTGATCTTGTCTTAGGTGATGGGGCATAAATGCAACACAAAATTTTAAGTTTTTTATATCTCGGATTATATTGCTTTATAGAAGATTGTGACCACCATAGTCCAAGCGCTGGGAGCCATTGGTTGTAATGAAGAGTTTCGTTGCCTATTGCGCGGTTGGATAGTTAAACATTATTAATTGCATTTTTTAAACATGTTTTACCGAAGATCTCAAATTAATTGTGAAGGTGAAACTGAAATTCTATATTTCTGTTTGGGGTGATTTAATGTTTAATTCTCAAATTTTCAGGTCAAAACTGTGATAGAGAAGCCTTATAATGATCATCTACCTCTGCTTGAAGCCAGCAGGTTTGTCATAACTCTGTAGTCTTCTGATAATACTTTCAGCAAACCTCCAGGTGGAATTGATCATTGATTTTAGGTTTCAAGCTAATAGCAATGAGATTGTGATAAGATCTCAATTGAAGCTGATAGGCAGTAAACTCCTGAGATGCTTATTACATAGTTGCATGATAAGGTGGTTGCTAAACAGTACTAACAACCGATTTTCATTCACTTAACTGAGCTTGTTAGCTTTGGCTAGCATTGGAAACTCATAATTCTGCAATTCTAACTTCAATCAATGTGATACAGTAATCTTTATTAAGTTGGTCAGCACTCATTTTCAATTTGGTTAAGTTAGCTTAGTTCCCTATTTAGTTTGATTTTATCCTAGTTAATCTCTATTCATTTTAACTTACGTCAAGCCTGTATATGAAGACAGCTGAGATTTTTTTAAGTGAAATGAACACTAATGAAAAAGTAGAGAATTTGGTGCCATCTTGAGCTAGATTATTATTGATCGGTCATAGATTGCTGTTATACACCTAGATCGGTGCCATAGGATGAAGGGATAGAGAGTGAGAGAGATGAGGCCTCTGGATATGATTTGGACGGAAACGAGGCTTAGAGAAACAATTATCCATAAATTAAAATAGCTGAAACATCATCCTCCATTGTCTTGTACTTAGCAGTAAAAGACTATACATGAAACCTAACATATATATAAAATCACAACCTTTAACATAATGCAAGATAATGAAGTAAACCCATCAGTTATCGAGTCACAAACCTTGCTTGAAGACTATCTAGCTTGTCACATGCACGGTCTTCTGTTGAGCTCATCGTTTTTCTCGTGAACTGGTGAGGCCATCCATGGTAGTTTCTTCCAAGTGGGAATGTTTGTGGATTGGTAGACAAAATTTAATCTTACTTGCAATCTGTGTATGGTAAAATTTTCAGGCTGTGTAATAGGGACATCATTTCTCATGTACAGCAAGTCATTTGCTTTGCCTTCCATGATAGCAAATTGCTGATGGAAACATGCCAAGAAGCGAAGAATCTCCGGAAAATCGTGACTCTCTTTTACCTGGACTGAATCAATGCCCCTTCAAATGTCTATATAAATTGTTTGGAGACAGACCTAGAGAGCTTTTTCCTGTAAATTTTACAAACTGGTTAGCCATTTTCCGGTCTGTAGCATCAACGATGAGAACGGGGGCTCTTTTGCAGCTCCTTTCATTGCTAGTCAAGTGGATTCTTGTTGGTTCATTGGAAGGAAATAATTTTTTGTATGCATTTTGTTGTGCATCAATTGTGAAATGATGTTGGATCTTTGAAAACTTAGGCTTTAACCGTTCAATAGAATTAAACCTAAACAATAAAATAGTGATGAAAGATAACTGGGTGAAAGGAGTCTTAGCAAACACAGGCTTAAACATTTCATTTGATCAAATTGGACATTAAGGTTAATTTCATGACCGATTTAATCACAGCATGTGTGGACCATAATTTTTTTTTTTTTATCAAAATAAGCCTCTAAACTATGCATTTTTTTAATTAAAATTATACCTAACGTTACATTTTGATTTTATTTTAGTCATTCGTCATTAAAAAATTAACAAATTATGGATGTGATATTTCTTTTTTTAATGATATCGTGGCATTACCTTAATGTGACATGTTAATATCACCGTTAGTTTTTAACGACGGGTGACTAAAATGAAACCGAAATATAACATTAGGTATAATTTTGAAAAAAATAGTTATATATCTCAAACAGATCAAACCCTAAAAAACTTTTACTCTATTTTAGTCACCCAGTTATTTTTTAAATCACATCTAATGTTTTATTTTGGTCACCCAATGTTAATAATTTAATAGAATTGTTGGGGAGATTTTTTTTTTCAATGATGACTTTACATTTACTTTATGGATACATCAGCATCATCGTTAATTTTTTAACTGCAGGTGACCAAAATGAAACAAAAACTAGATATTAGTATGATCTTAAAAAACAATAGTTGAATGATTAAATCGAAACAAAAGTGATGGTTGTTTTATTTTTGTTTCATTTTAGTATCTCGTTCAAAATTTAACGTTAAGTACTTAAAGTTTAGGTACTAAAACGGACGAAAACTGATAGTTTAGGTATTGAATGCGCTAATTTTTAATGACAGAGTACTAAAATGAAACAAAAACTTAAAGTTATGCATGAATTTAAAAAAAAATGAAAGTTAGGTACTAAAATATATCAAAATTGATAATTTAGGTACTGAATGTGTGATTTACCCAAATATAATTAAATAATGGATGGCATTGCCGTAAATAATAGGAAGAATGAAGGTGAATGAGTTATGAAACATTTTATAACAAGCTCAAGCAGTCGAGCTTTTCCCAGTAGGCAAGGCAGTAGTCTTTTTCCTCTAATGGCGTCGCATTCTTCAATCCTCACGCTTAAACCTCTCCTCTTGTTTTTGTTTCGGTTTTCATTTTCAGAAATCATTTTCGAAGAGCGTTTCGATGGTACTCTTCTTCTTCTTCCTTTATTTCGTACTCTTTTTTTCATTATTGCTGTTTCGAACTATGATCCAGCTTTGGCACCGGGCAACGGAATGTTTCTGTTTGGTTACATAGAAAAATAAAAAAATTGGGCAACTACGTGTTTAATACCTATACTATCAGTTTTGATCTATTTTAATACTTAAACTATCCGTTTTTATAAAAATAATCATAAGATTTAATTTTTTCTTTTCATTTTAAAATCATATTCAAAATTTAATGTTAATTTTTGGAAAATTTTAAAAGTTTAGGTATTAAAATAGACCAATATTTTTATAGTTTAAATATTAAACACATTAAGTTTTTAATGATTAAAATAAAAACTAAACATTAAGTATGAAATAGAAAAAATTAAAAGTTCATGCATTAAACATATCAAAATTGATAGTTTCGATACTAAATACATAATTTACCTAAATTAATTTAAAATTCAGTTTGCCACGTCCTCAACTGAAAAATCCATTGTGAGGTCGTTGACCAACTGTTTTGCATTGCCACTTATTCCTTCTTTAATTGGAATTCGTATGTTTTTGTTTGGGTATATTACATATTTAGTATTTAATTTATCATTTTTATTTATTCTAGTATCTAAACTCTCAATTTTTTTAAAAGTATATCTAACGTTTCGTTTTTCATTTCATTTTAGTACGCTCGTTAAAAACTTAACGCATTCAGTACCTAAACTATCAATTTTGGTCTGTTTTTATACCTAAACTTTAAACTTTTTCAAAACTTAACGTTAAATTTTAAATGGAGTACTAAAATAAAACAAACACTAAAGTTTTTAACGACGGAGTACTAAAATGAAATAGAAATTAAACGTTAGACATTGTTTGAAAAAATTGAAAGTTTATGTATTAAAACAAACTAGAACTAATATTTTAGTTACTAAACGTGTGATTTACCCCTTTTTCGGTTGTTTGTTTCCTAATTTGGAATTCATTTTTTTTGGCTAAACTACATATTAGTACATAAATTATCAGTTTTAGCCCATTTTAGTACTTAAACTTTTAATTTTTTCAAAACAATGCCTAACATATAGTTTTCATTTCATTTTTGTACCCACCGTTAAAAAATTAACGCGCTTAGTACTTAAACTATCAGTTTTGGTTCGTTTTAATAACTAAACTTTCAATTTTTTCAAAACTTAACGTTAAATTTTGAATGAGGGTACTAAAGTGAAACAAAAACTAAAGTTTTTAAAGGTGGGTAAAATGAGATAAAAACTAAACTTTAGGTATGATTTTGGAAAAAAATTAAAAGTTTAGATACTAAAACATATCAAAACTGATAGTTTAAGCACTAAATGTGTGGTTTACTCTTTTTATTTTTGCTTGTGTTTACCCTAAATTAATGTTGTGAACAGACGGATGGCAACGCAATTGGGTAAAATCTGATTAGAAAAGAACGAAAGGAAAAGCAGGATCATTCAAGCACACTCCCAGGAAGTGGTCTGGAGATCCCGATGATAAAGGTATTCCCTGCTATAATCAGTGATTTAAATTACGATTACGGTCATATTTTTGATTACATAGTAATAATGTGTAATACCCTAAATTTTAACTAGTGACTAAAATGTAAGTTTTGAAATTTTGAGGGCTAATGTATAAACTTTGCAAAAGTTCAAAGACCAAAAATATAATTTTAAAAACTTATAATTTTAGCCAACAAATAAACAATTTGACCTAAAACAATGATTTTTGTGGGAATCAGATTTTCGGTATATGATTTATATTAAAAGTTATAAAGCGATAAAGTTCGGTATTTAAATCGGATAATCGTATTAAACCGAAATTATATGAAAATTTGAAGGATGATATAAAATTGATGGAAATATTATTTCCATGTTTTATATCAAAAAAAATTGTCTCAGAACAGTGTAATTTTTAAAATTTGGTCGAATAGTAAAATTTTAGTGACTAAATTACAATTTTTGAAAATTGAATGGTCAAAGTAAAAGGTTAAAGTCAAGTTGATTAATCTTTGACTAACGAATATTTTAATGGAAGATAATACAATATCATTTGGTAATTATCAAATTTCATTAATGATATTTTTGGGAATTCTCATTAATTGAATTTTAAAATTCAATTATATTGTTAAAGTGCCATATGTCAAGGTTAATAAATACTAGATTAACCAAGAAAATTAGCACAAAATCAGCTCATTCTTCAAGCTCGGCCGAAACCACCATTTCTCCAAGGTAAACATTTTATTTTTGATTTTTAAGCTTACATGATTGATTTTTGGACTAAGTTATGAATTAGAAAATTAATCTATATGAAATTCTCTATCATTTGGTACCAATATTTCATAGTGAAGATCCTTATATGTTGAGATTGAAGGTTAGGGTTTATGTAGAGTTTTTGGAGTTTTAAAAATTAATGAAAGATTATTATGTTTTTGATGTTGGAGATTAATTTTCAAGCACGTATGATGTTTAAAATCAAGTGTAGAATGATTTAAAGAATTTGGCCTAATTAGGTTTTTGGTGATTGAGATGTTGATTTAATTTAAAATGTGAATTTAAGTTAAGGTGTAGTATAAAATAATAAGATTTAAGTTTAGACTAGCATAACATATATACCATATGTAGTCCATTTTAAACATAAAAGTTTGCTTGGCCCGGTGGTTGAGTGAGTGCTTTAGCTCGCATGGTTGTCACCCTCTGATTAGTGGAAAGTAAATCTATTAAATTTAAAATAAATTAAATTCTCTAATCAGGTGACGACACATGTCTTAGCACTTTGCATTAGTGGCACATGACATGATCTGATTCGAAGGTTAAATTTATTTGAATTTATTAAAATTATGACTAAATTGATAGAATATATATAAGTAACAATGACCAAATGTACAATGTCATTACTTCCATTAACTGTTAACAACTAGTGACCTGATTGAATGCATTTAAGTAGTTGGGTGACCTGACTGATAATAATTAAAAAATGGTGGTTAAAATGATAAAGAACTATAGTTGGGTGGTTACTAGTATAATTTACACTTAAGTTTAATTAGATTAATATTATGGTAAATTTGTGTCTAGTACCTGAACTATTAATTTTGATTTGTTTTAGTATTTAAACTTTTATTTTTTTCAAAAATCATATTTAAAGTTTAGTTTTGTTTCATTTTAATAAGCTTGTTCAAAATTTAACATTATTTAAAAAAATGAAAGTTTAGGTATTAAAACAGACTAAAACTTATAGTCTAGTTACTAAATGTGTTAAGTTTTTAATAGTGAGATACTAAAATGAAACAAAAACTAAACATTAGGTATGATTTTTTTTAAAAATTGAAAGTTTAGGTACTAAAGCGGACTAAAACTAATAGTTTAAGTGTTAAATGCGTAGTTTACCCTTAATATTATTATTCTTGATATATTACATAAAAAATGAAAATATTTAAACATTTAGTATTGTATGAATCTAGCGGACTCGGTGACTAAAACATTATTATTATCACTTGATGTTTTAGATTCGAGCACAACATCTACAAGAGTATATGAATGTTCATTGTCAAATGATTAATATTTTTTAAAAACAAATACTAAATTATATTCCCTTAATAATAATAAAAACATTTAGTATCCTTCAATTTACGAGTAAGAATTATAAAGTGTATAAAAAAATTATATTATATTCCAATATGACATAGAGATAGGAACAATATCTAAACTCAGCAGGTTATGATTCGACCCGACTCGATCGAATTAGATTTTTTTTTAAAAAAATTGAATTCTAGTAAGATTTTTTAGAGTGAAAATTCGTGTCAATATTGAATTTAGGGTGAAAAATATTCGATCTGACCCGAAAAATAATATAGTTTTATATTATATATTTAAGGATAATTACAAAAAATACTCTCTTTATATTATTTTTTCAATTAGATCCTTATTTTATTGAATAAAAATAATATTTTTTATAAGTATATTTGTTTTGGGTCAGATTCGGGTTTTATTTAAAAAACTTGAATTAAGTTTTAGGTCGGATGAAGTCACTCTAAACTCGAATCAAATCAAATTTGAGTGAATGCATATTTTTCGGGTCGAGTTAACCGAAAATCTGACCATACGGAACTCATGCCCATACTTACTATGACACGAAATTATGATGTGTAAGAAAATTTAAAATATTATATATTTAAATTCAAAGATTGATCGTGAATAAAAAAAAGGGATCAGATTAAAACATATTACTATATTCGAGGACTAAATGCTTCTTTATTCCAAAGAATTCAAAAGTCAGAATTATACACCTTCTCTGATCTTTAAGAACAGAGATCGAAGAAAATCCCAAGACATAAATTTTCCCTCTTTTCCTCAGAGTTTTGATTTATTTTTCTGCAATTGAGAATTTGAAGAAACAAGATTTATAGAAAAGATGTGTGGAATATTTGCGTATTTGAATTACAACGTGAACAGAGAGAGAAGGCACATTCTTCAAGTTCTCTTCAATGGCCTTCGTCGTCTCGAGTACAGAGGCTACGATTCCGCCGGAATTTCCATCGACGACGGTGACTTCTCGTCTTTTCCTCGATCGTCCTCCGACGGCTCTCTGTCGCCTCCCCCTCTCGTTTTTCGCCAGGAAGGCAATATCGAGTCCCTCGTCAAATCTGTCTACCAAGGTAACCTCTCACCTCCACGGTTTCTATTTCATTGTTCTGATGTTTTGGATTTTTTCGGTTGGTTTCTACGAGAAGGGTGGGAGCCTGGGTTCTTAACCGGGTCGGGTCCAAAACATGGTCATATTCACTTCTTAATATTTTATATTGAATCAATGAATTCCTCCGTTTCTCAGTGCCGGGTCGGGTCAAGTTAGGCGTGTAAATAGGATGGAGCCAAACCCGACTCTCCGAAAAATTTCAAATTTGAGTCGATTTATATATCAAAACTAATAACTTAAAATTTTCTAATAAGCATGAAATTAATTTTCAAGTTTCAAGCTAGTCTCTCAACTCTTTACTCTACTATAAATGTTTATCACATATAACAAAATATGAATAAATACATGTATTCTATATTGTTATAAAAAACGATTTAAATTAAAATCAAATAATACTATAATATTATAATATTTATAGTTAAATTTAAATAGAAACACAAATAACTCATACCCGAATTTTATAGATTTATCGATTTAAATTTAATAGACCGGTCAATTGAATAATTTAAATTTTTTTAACTCGATTATATTGGATGATCACCATGATCTGTTGCGCCAGGTTTTGCGTGTCCGGTGGTAGTCGTAACTTAAAAGAAAAGTATGTGCAAAGTTTTCTCTTTTATATTTTAGAAAATAGACGGGTTACTAAGATGGCTACATGTGTAAAAAAGAAGGGTTGCTCTTACTGTAATTAGTTTTTTATTCTTTACTAGCTTTTCGTATGATTGATGTTTTACATCTCGGACCCTTGGATTTAGCAAAATGATTAAATGCGTCATGCAAATAAATTTCAAATCAATATGATATGTCTATCATTTTATTGATTGAAATTATTGTCTTTTATTGATATATACTTAAGATTGAAAATTTTACATTAAATAGTTATTCATTTTTAATTTATTTAAAGTTAGTGAATAGACCATAAGATATGACGGTTGAGTTGTTAAATTATTAATAATATAAAAAGTGTGTAATTGTGTAATTTGATCCTTCCTCTCTCTATATATATATATTCCACAGAATTATGTGATGCTGAAATGTAAGTTCATTAATTAAATGGTACAAATTATTACTTTTAACACTGAATCAAAATGGAAGTATATGATTTGTTTATTAGTGAATTAAAATGTTATCTTAATTGTTTCTTACAATGTAATTGTAACTTGAGAAGAAATCATTTTGAGTGAAAAAGCTGGACTTGTCCCATGCTCTTTTCTGTCGTTCGTTAATGTTACAAATGAAAAAATAAAATTAAAAATGTTTTCTCCAGTGGCTGAATTAATGGTGGTTTGGTCCTTTCAGAGGTAGTTGCAACAGAGTTGAACTTGGAGAAATCTTTTACTACCCATGCTGGTATAGCACACACCAGATGGGCTACTCATGGGGAGCCTGCTCCAAGGAATAGTCATCCTCAGACTTCTGGTTCTGGGAATGACTTCTTGGTTGTTCACAATGGTGTTATCACTAATTATGAGGTTTGCTTAATTTTTCAATGACGTTCTTCATTTTCTAAACTAAACTCGCTTATGCATTCTTGATGGATTTGCAACTCAAGTTTTTATGCTGCAATTGTTGTTTGTTTAGCATTTTTTAGAGCATAAGATACTGCATGTGTATAAGGTAAGCAACTAATGGAGAGATTGATAGATAGCTCAAGTTATGTTTGTATGAACCACTAGTGTTCATTTTGTCTACTTTCATCTTCTCCCTTTGTTCTCGCATTCTCCCTTTTTCCATGCCACTGAGACAGAATAAACCATGTTAAATGATGTGACTAAAGTAGCTTATGCTTTTAAATAATAAAGTCATATGCACATACGAATTAATAAGATGGAAACTCAGAGAATAACAGAGTATATACTAAGTTCAAATGGTAGGTATTGCTCTAGTGTTGCTCTTCTGTTTTTTCTACCATTCGTTTTTTATTGATAATTTGGAAGTAGTTACTTTTAGTTTCTTGCGGGTGAATAGAGTCATGAGTTGAAAATTTGGAACAAAACTTTATCAATTTATCAAAATTTACGAATGTTCTGAATAAAGAATATAAAGATGAGAGAAAGAGAGAGTATGCAGAGTCGGAACAGTTTTTTTTTGGTCCAGCAAGACGTAAACAGTACATTTTGATATTTTATCTTATTCTTTTTCTGTGGGGCTTCTTCAACTCAACTCTTTTGATGACTTAATGTTGTTAGTTGAACATATTGGCTGGTTCTGAAAATTGTTAACGGGTGATTAGAGTGCAAGAAAACAATACTTTTTTCTGAAGATGGTTATGTAGCTATAAAACTGCTAGCTTCATCATTTAATGGCTTTATTGAAATCTGTCTGCAGCTTTTATTCTTAAATGTTTAATCACAGCAAATTTCCACGCTTACGATCTTTACATGTGATTGTGTCCATTCTTTTTTTATGCAACTGCATATCATAAAGTTTACTTTCTTTAATATGTGTGTATTTTCAGGTCTTGAAAGAGACCCTTGTTCGACATGGATTCACTTTTGAATCTGAAACAGACACAGAAGTAATACCAAAGCTTGCCAAATTTGTTTTTGACAAAGCAAATGAAGAAGGTAATTTATTTTTCAATAATGATTATTGCTTTGCAACCTTGCCATTTCACAAATGCATTATACCAGTGCTTTTGCACTTAATATTTAGTCCTACTACTTGGTTACATTGCACTTCTTTTGAAAGAGACCCTTGTTCGACATGGATTCACTTTTGAATCTGAAACAGACACAGAAGTAATACCAAAGCTTGCCAAATTTGTTTTTGACAAAGCAAATGAAGAAGGTAATTTATTTTTCAATAATGATTACTGCTTTGCAGCCTTGCCATTTCACAAATGCATTATACCAGTGCTTTTGCACTTAATATTTAGTCCTACTACATGGTTACATTGCACTTCTTTTGTGCCTTGTACTTGAGGCTATGTAAAGGTCCTAGTGCATAGAGTTTCCCTTGATCCTTTTTGATGTGATGTGCAATAAAAAGTGCTGTGATCTTTCAATAGTTTCTTCTGCCATGTTTGCATGTAAATCAATCATTATAATGGTGTGTTGGACCATGACTAGGGGTGCTTAACGAGTTGAGCAGCTCAAACTCGACTCGGTCAAAATTCGATAAACGCTCGACTCGAACTCTAACTCGACTCGAGACCTTAACGAGCTGAGCCTAGCAAAGTCTAACTTGATTCGATAAGTTCACGAGCATCTTATTAATTTTTTAAAATATATTTTAGTAATTACTTCAAAATTATTTTATTCAAAAAATAAATCTAAATATTAAATATTAATTTATTAATAAATAATAATAATAATAAGTTAACTAATCTATTATTTTTAATTAATAATAAAATATTATTAATTAATAATATTATTTTAATACCCAAAAAAAAAACTCATCCCTAATATCATATAGTATTAGTAAATTTTATTTTTAGTTAAAAAGGTAAGGTAAATTTTTTAGTGAGCTTAACGAGCAACGAGTCGAGTTGAGCAACAAATTTTTTTAACGAGCACGAGTCGAGCACAATTTTAACGAGCAACGAGTCGAATCGAGCAACAAATTTTTTTAACGAGCACGAGTCGAGTACTGCCCAACTCGTGATGGACTAGCTCGATAAGCACCCCTAACCATGATTATTATAGTATTATAGTAACTTGATCTCCTATAATTACAAATGTCATTAGTTGAGCTCAATTATGAGAAATGTAGTACTGAGAAGGCTGGAGAGGTCTGGGGAAAGCGGTTCAATCAGCCACGTGTTTTTTTTATAAGAATTGAAGGCCTCGTTAAAAACCCCCTTCTTAATTGAAGGATCTCGTAAAGAAGCTCCTTAAATCAGCGGAAGGAGGAAAAGAGTGCCTTAAGATTTCATTAAACATAAAGAGAATTACAATAGAAATACAACACACCAAAATACCCTTTACGTGGAGTAAAAGCTATAAGACAACCGTGAACAACAACACAAGAATCAGCCTATTCCAGCCTTAGCTAAGGCATCAGCCTCTAGGTTAGCTGTCCTAGCAACCCATCTAACAAAACCCTCAAAAGATCTAAGCCTAACAACTATGTCATTAACAATAAAAGCATACACATCTGGACATAGATCAACATTCTTAATCCAATCCACTGTCACCCTGCTATCACTCTCGATAATCAACCGATCCTTAACAATCCCTTGAAAAGAGGCAAAAAAGGATAAACCCCTTTGAATAGCTTCAAGTTCCATCAGTGTAGGAGGACCCAAACCAGCAGATTCCTTGAAAGAGCCTAAAATCATACCAGAATGATCTCTTAAAACGCCACCAAGACCACTCTTCTTCCAGTCGCAACTAGTTGCAACATCAACATTCAATTTGATGAAGCCCTTAGGGGGAGGTAATCAAGGGATCTTAGATAAACTCACTTTATTGTAGGATGAACAAGAATCCCCTAGGGAAGGATCAGAAATGAGAGAGTCCTTAGGGATAGAAATCTCCTTATACTTGGCTAAAAACCAAGAAGCAAGCCTAAATCTTGCTAAGAAAAATAATTCTGTCTGATCTGACTTCCCCCCTTCGAACACTATATCATTCCCGACTTTCCAAATGGTTCAGAGAACATACCCTGAGATAAATGGCCATATAGCTGAATTAGTTTTCAAATCCTCCCAAGCTAGGAGAAAAATCTTGGCATTTGCGGGAAAAACAGAACTAAGCCTCCAAAACTTCATAAATTTATTCCATAAGGACCATACTACTGAGCAAGTCAAGAATAAATGCGTGGAAGACTCCTCCACCAGCTTACAAAGAGGACATAAAACATCTTCAATACCCTGAACCCCTCTTTTAACCGCAGCCACGTGTTTTATAAGGTGCTGTGATTGTCACTGGCTGATTCAGTTTTAAACCGCTGGCAATGGACTTTATAATACACACGTACCTTGCATCAAAAAAAATATAATACACCTGTACTTAATGCCAATTCATTTCGTGGAATCTTGTTGTTATATATTTCAGCCTAGGCCCTAGTAGTCCTGCAAATTTCAACGTTAAACTAGATCTTTTGTGGCACATAGGTAGGCTAGGATACATCATACATCAAATTCTCAAAATTTCTTGGAAGTGGTTGCTGGAAAAGCATAGTCAAAGAAACTGAACATAAGTGGGACATGGAGTATGTCACATTCATATACAACAGTTAGCATACATCATCGTCATAGAACAAGAGAAAAGGACAACTCAACGTTGAAACAACAAATTTTGGAAGGAACAAAGTCTATATTTTGTTGCCATCTCTCATCCTCTTCTTCTGATTTTCGATACCACTAAAGCTTCTTTGAGTGGTTTGTTTTTTCCAAATATGCAATTTTTTACCTAAATGCTTTCTTGAATGGCTGTTTGCTTTTAAATTGTGTTAATCTAACTTCGAGGGTCACTTCAAATTACTTGGACAATTTTCTGATTTGTCTACTCTTTCACCACTATACTAGGGGTAGTTGAAGTTATTGTTATGTGGTCTGAATCATGTTTCCTTCCTCCTTACTGATTCTCAATGTTTGATAACCTGTTTGCATGACCAGCGTGCCACCATATCAAGAGTAGTAGTCTTCAATTCTAATCTTTCATGAAATTTAATTTAATTATGAACAACTGAAAATTTCATAATATATTGTTTAAATTAGTATGTTGAAACATTGACCGAATGCCAGATCAATCATCTAGTGTTCTATTGCCTTCACTAATCAGGCGTATTAATTGGGGCATTTACTGTCTGTTGTGTAAGTTTTATGAAGTGATAAGAGTTTGATGAAAAAGAGAATTTATCTTTTTCTGTTTTTTCTCATAGTTATAAAACTATTTAATAGATATCTAACTTATCCTTTGAGTAGTCCTATTAGGTTAGTGTTTACATTGGAGTCCTACTTATATAAACTATTTAATAGATATCTAACTTATCTTTTGAGTAGATAAACATAAAATACATCTAGACTACACATTAAAATACATATCATATTCGGTTACAATCTATATATTGTTTTCTTTTGCCTTCATTATTTTCCAAGTACATTCTTTGCAATTAGTCTAATACCTTACTGAAAATGCTTTTTATTCACGTGCTTGAGGAGACATTTCAATCAAATGCACTTATGGTGTTTATATATGTTCTTCAGGTGACCAGACTGTCACATTCAGTCAAGTAGTACTTGAAGTTATGAGGCATCTTGAGGGAGCATATGCCCTCATTTTCAAAAGTCGGCATTACCCAAATGAGCTTATTGCTTGCAAGCGTGGTAGTCCATTGCTCTTAGGTGTGAAAGTAAGTATAATTACGAACCAAGCTTCTTATTTCATTATTTCTGCACCAAATAATACATTTTGTAATTTTTGTACATATAAGGTTTTTGGGGTAGGTGTCATTTTGGGCTTTTGATTAGCCACTACTCTTGAAATCTTCAGATTCAGTTTGGTTGTTCATTTGCTTAGCTCTGCTTTGCTTAGTGTTTTTTTATTTAGCAAATTTTTATTAAATAATTCATATTTTATTTGTTTTCTGATTTTCTCATAATTTACCTTCACTTTAGTATTATAATCTTATTGAAAACATTTTCATTAGTTCAATTCTTAAAGCATGGACAATTGTAATGCTTTTTGAGGATTCATTACTGCTCTTAAGACATAGAATATATCTAGAATCTTTGGCTTCGGTGGTAAAGTTAATTTAGTATTGAAAAGTATTTTTGGATTCCTTTTGTGCTACAAGAAGGTAAATGATTTCGTGTCTTATTCTTTTAAATCCTATAAAAAATATCTAAGCACTTATCATGGAGAGATGAATTTTGATCATCAAGGATGATGAAGGGAGGGGTGGGGACATGTTTTTTCATAACTTCTTTTAAATTGAATTTTGGTAATACCGCTCTCACTAACTAAAATGATATAAAAAAGAAAAGGAAATTTAAGGGAAAATGGGAGCAAAAGAGACAAAATAGGACAGATACCTTGTATTTTTTAAGTTCAATTGCAATAATGATAATTTTAGAAATTATAGTAAATTCAGATAGGTGAAAGAAAAAAAGAGAGGAAAGAAATAACCAAAAAAATAGGGGGGAAAAAGGCTGAAGTGGCTTAACTGTCTCGGACGAATATTGGGTTTTAGTCTGTTAGCGGTTTTGGAAGGAGTTTTAATTGATTGGTGTGTGTTGCTTCTCCAAGATATAGATGGTTCGCCGTTAGGAGTCGGTTGTGTTTTTATCATATTATTGGATTTATGTACTGCTTTCGAATATTTTTGGTTTTTAGTGGTGTGAGGCTTGGGATAGGTGTGAGTGGGTATCAGATAGGGTTGACCTTGTAATATTTGGATGTTTAAGGGGGATTTAGAGATTTTCTGGTTTAGATGTGGTGTATGTATCTTATTGGGGTGTTATTTCATACAAGGTGTAATGGTTTTATTATTTAATAAATCATGAGGTACTCTTTTCCTCCTTCCAATTTTCGTTGACATACATTTTAGTATGTTGATGATTATAAAGGGGGGGTTTTAACGAGGCCTCCAATTCTTTGGGGGGGGGGGAGGAGAGAAGTGAAAGATGAAAAAGAAGGATGTAAAGGATTTCTCTTCTAATTCATTTTAGCTATTTTGGATTGCATACAGGTAGCATAAATATGCCTTTTTAATGAACTAAATAAAGGGTTAACAGAAGTTTTATTTGTATTCAGAAATGTGCTCACTATATGAGTTGCCATTTTACTTTTCAATGTACATAAGATGTAAGAATACATTTCTTTTTCCATGTCTTTGAAAAGGGAGAAAAGAGTTTTAGAAGATGAATGTCTAAGAGTAAAATCCCTATTATTCTGACTATTGAAATTTGTTCTCATTAGAACTCATTAAATTATATCTGCACAAATTGGCATGTGTAGGGTTCCCTTTACATATCCATACTATCTTAAAGATGTTTATGTTTTCAGTTTTTTTCTTCAGTTGCTGCAACCTTGGCATTTTCCTTTATGCACCTTTTGTTAATTTTATCTCTTTATGCAACCTTAGCGACATTTAGTTGAACTGGCCATTACTAATCGTGTCATTCATACAAGTTGCCCTTACTCTTTGCGAGAGAATACAAAAAAAAACATATTTGAAATCTTTTTTCCCACTTACCTTATTTAAATTTGAAAGCAAATCGTTCTTTTTTTTTTGTTACAATGGAGACCTCGGTTTAGGGGCCTTTGGGAAGGGAAATTTGCAGGTGTTAGGGATCAAATCCACACTTGCTGAAATTTGCCTCCAAAGGGAAATGGGGGAAACCATTTGGATTAAGCTCCAGGTTCATCTACGTAGCTTTTGGACTAATGGTGTGGTTTTCAAGTATTTGGCTACTAACATCTTTATCTTTGGGTTGTAGCAGTTGAAAGGTCCATCTGTAAAGATGTTTGTAGGATTGAATTTTACGCTTTCACTCTTGATAGTATTTTGATGGATTGGATTTTATGCTTTCACTCTTCATAGTATTTTGATCCAGACTTACCAGCTGCAGGAACAGATTTTATATGTCAATGGCTAACAATTTGGTACAAACTAGAAATATAGGGAAACATGCTTATCTTCCTTCATGTGGAGGTCTTTTCCTGGGAGGTGTCTGCATTATAATGCGCAATTTCTTCTCTCCACCCTTCTACTAAAGTATAAAAAATCCTGCTACAGTGCAAGCATTTATAAGGGTTTAGCTCTCATTTTTTCCATTTACTATTTTTACTTTTAATGGGTTATGGTTTTACGTATAAACGGTACAAGGTTACAGATTCAGTGCATAGACGTTTTAATTATTTTTGGTTGCATATTACTTTATCTGTCAGATTGATGTTTTTTATTTATAAAGTTGCTTTCTCTTAGGAAAATGATGATGTTTGCAATGGATCAGCATTCCATGATGCTAAATTTCTCTTACAAAATAGCAATCCTAAGGAACTTTTCCTATCAAGTGATGCAAATGCAATTGTTGAACACACAAAGAAAGTTCTTGTCATCGAGGATGGTGAAGTAGTTCATCTTAAGGTACATTTAATCCTTTAGATAAGTTGCAATTATTCTCTTATTCTAGTCTTCTTTTTATGCTTGGTATATCTTACAAAACTTTCTTGTTCTATTCTTTAATTATTTTCTACACACACACATATATTTCCGTTTTATCCCTCGCTTGCCCTCTCTTTCTATCCTACATTTTTATAACATGTATGTCTTACAAGAATAAATGCTATGTAGGATTCGACTGATAATTTTATGGTTATAAGACTATAATCTTCTTTTAATTTTTATTGGAATGTTTGAGACACATGGGTTATGATTGTGAACATATATAGGTAGACATTTTCCCCTTTTACATAGAAGCCACACCAGATGTTATGGTCTTGGGTTACGGATCGAGTCACTGGAACTGTCTGGAACATCAGAAGCGATTGCTTTCCTTTATCACTATTACTGGAATGACCTATGGAGATTGATAACTCAACCAGTTGAAGGCAGATTTAAACCTTAATACTTGTTAAAGGAGAGACCAAGATCTTTTAGGGCTTTGATAAAAATTATGGCTTGTTTTATTCTGTTATCAATTAGCCTCTTTTATCTAGAGAGGTTACATCGTTCAACTGAAAGACTTACCAAGTACTCCTACTAAGGAGAGACTTCTAATGATAAAAAACTCATAAATAAAATCTACTACTACTAAATGCTAGCAAAATAATAGTAAATTGGTCCTAATAATAATAAAACTAAGGCTTAAATATCAAAAAGGTGCCCAACGTATGTCTTTCGTTCTAATTTGGTGCCTAACGTTTTTTTGTTTCAGTTTGGTGCTTAACGTTTTTTTCGTTCTAGTTTAGTGTCTAACATTTTTTCATTCCAGTTTGGTGCTTAACGTTTCATTCCATAATTCAGTTTGAGTCAGGTTGTACGAACTGTTAATTTTGACCGTTAAATGTCATATGGCACTTTTTTAATATTAAAAAAATGATTTTTATAATAAAAATAATAATAAATGAATTAATTCCAATTGAAAAATTTTCAAGCTCAGACATGGTTTCCTCTCTTCCCCTTTAACCCTAAATCATTTTTCCTCACTCTGCATAATTTGAAAATTTTCAAGCTAAGACAGTATTCCTATACTTTCAGGAATCGACCATTTAACATATTGGTAGCTAGTTGAAGATGAACAAGTTTTGAAAGCTTAGAAATATTGGAATATGATGACCCCTCAAAGGTATTACCAGTGAGATTGAGAGACACAAGCAGATTGTTGTTGAAAAAAATGATTTTTTCCCCTCTCTTCCCCTTTCTCATCAACATTAGCTATGGTGAAGAGATTATCGAAGATGACTTCAAGACCCATTGTTCCTCAACAAGCCAGTGGTAATTTGTTGAGTTTTTTTTTTTCTGTTTTCGTTTGGAAAGATTTTTATGGGTTTTTCTTGAAAGTTCTTCACTTTGCTGGGTTTTATTTTTCATTTTTGTTTGAAATGATTTTTATGGGTTTTTTTCTTGAAATGATTAACCAAAATCATTGAAGCCAAGCATAAAATATTTTGGGAGAAAAAGCAAAGTAAATGTTAAGGAAACAGACGATGAAAAGAAGAGCAATTAAAAATAAGATTGTCACCATAGCTTATGTTGATGAATCAAACAGAACAAAAACAGGAGGGGGGAGAAGATGAAAACAAGAGGGGGGGGGGGGGAAGAAGATGAACAAGTGTTTAATTTTTCAACTAATCTATTTTAATTAGATTGTTATTTTCAGAAATCATTTTTTAAAATTAAAAAAATTCAGGTGGCATTTAATGGCCAAAATTAACGGTCCGTCATGGCCTGACCCAAACTAAGTTACGGAATGAAACGTTAGGCATCAAACTAGAACGAAAAAAACGTTAGCGGAATGAAACGATAGGCACCAAACTAGAACGAAAAAAATGTTAGGTGTCAAACTGGAACTAAAGGCATACGTTGGGCACCTTTTTGATATTTAAGCCTAAAACTAATATCTTCCTGAAATTATTATTATTTTTTGTTGCAATAAACTGATATATTCCTTGACTTCACGCGTAGCACTATATTTTCCAATTGAATGAGGTGTTTGCTCTAAATTGACTCTTTATAAGTTTGTTTAATTTTACTTAATACCTACATTTATACACTCATGTTGGTTCAAGGCATGTCAATACATGGCTTCTAATTTAAGAAATTCCATCTAGATCACTAGAAGTCTTCTCTGTTACGGCAATCTTAGAAGAAACATTAAGTCGTGATTTATGTAGAAAGTAAGTATTTTGGAAAAGAGAATTCTGATTTACTCTTAATTTTCTGATGATAAATTGTATTTTTGAAGAAGAGAGTACTTAGGTTGTGTACATAGAGATTTACTAGCCAAAAACACATCTTTATATTTACTTTAGATAAGATAAATAAGGGAAAATTCAAGCATTATATGCAGAAATGGAATTATAGTTAACTCATGACAGAGACTACTTTTTTGTTTTCCATGTTGATTAGTTTTTTAAAGTGATGGTCCGTTAATTCTTATTTTCCCCTCATGTTACTTGCCTTCTTCAGGAAGGTACTGTATCGATCCTAAAGTTTAATAATGACAAAGGAAGAAATGGAGGCAGTCGTTCTGCTAGGCCTGCATCAGTGCAACGTGCGTTATCTACTCTTGAGATGGAGGTTGAACAAATAAATAAGGGAACATACAAGCATTATATGCAGAAAGAAATTCATGAACAGCCAGAATCTCTAACAACTACCTTGAGAGGAAGGCTTCTACGCGGAGGTTCCTGGAAGGCTAAGACTGTTCTTTTGGGTGGACTGAAGGATCACCTTAAAACAATTAGGCGAAGCCGAAGGATTGTATTCATTGGTTGTGGTACAAGTTACAATGCTGCTTTAGCTGCTAGACCCATCATGGAAGAACTATCTGGTAACTGCTATTTGTCTGGGAAATATAATTCTGTTTTAAAATTTCTTATTTTCATTCTCAACTTGTTTATTTGATTTATGTGGAAAAATAGGGGTACCTGTTACAATGGAAATTGCTAGTGATCTGTTGGATCGGCAAGGTCTTATATACAGAGAGGATACAGTAGTTTTTGTTAGTCAATCTGGTGAAACAGCTGATACATTGCTTGCTCTGGAATATGCTTTGGAGAATGGTGCGTTATGTGTTGGCATCACGAATACTGTTGGGAGTGTAATAGCTCGGAATACACACTGTGGTGTTCATATAAATGCTGGTTGTGAAATTGGTGTAGCCAGTACCAAGGTAAATACAGGATCAAGGAATCTTTGTCCTTTCGTCTTTTAGTTAAAAAAACTCACGCTGTCATTAACAGGCATATACAAGTCAAATAGCGGTGATGGCCATGTTAGCTTTGGCAATTGGAGCTGACACAATTTCTAAACAAGAGAGAAGGGAGGCTATAATAGATGGTCTATTCGACCTTCCAAGTTAGTCTAAAACCTTGTTCCCTTTTTATATATATATATATATATTCTAAAATGTTTCCCCCTTTTCACTTTGTTTTCTTGGCTTTCACAGATAAAATCAGGGAGGTACTGAAGCTTGACCAGGAAATGAAAGATCTAGCGAAACTATTGATTGCTGAGCAGTCACTTCTTGTCTTCGGGAGAGGATACAATTATGCAACTGCTTTGGAAGGTGCTCTAAAAGTGAAGGAAGTTGCACTTATGCATAGTGAGGGGATACTTGCCGGTGAAATGAAGCATGGTCCATTGGCACTAGTTGATGAAAATCTCCCCATTGTTGTGATTGCTACCCGTGATGCTTGCTTCAGGTTGGTTTGGTTTTTGAGAAATTATGTTATTTTATTGCTTTCAACTGCTTGGCACCGACATCTTCTGATTTCGAATAGCAAGCAACAGTCGGTTATTCAGCAACTACGTGCCCGCAAAGGGCGCTTGATAGTAATGTGTTCAAAAGGAGATGCTGCATCAGTGTGTCCTGGAGGCGGTTGTCGAGTAATTGAAGTTCCTCAGGTTGAGGACTGTCTTCAACCTGTGGTTAATATAGTTCCATTTCAGGTATCCTTTTCATTATTATTTTAGCTTGCTTCTTATCATGAAATTAGCAATATACTAAAATTATGGGTGTTATGCATTAAGTGACAAGTGAGAGTGAATTATCACATTAATAATAAATTTATGAATAAAAATATGTAAAACTAAATATAATATTTGGCTACTGCAAGGTATCTGTCTATAGGGTACCCATTGCAGCCCTCTCAAGTATACAATGTTAGTATGAACCAAATTACCTCAGTGGTTAAGGAATGGTTGTTATTCCTAGATGTCTTGGGTTTGTGCACCAGCAATTGCAGCCGGGGTGATTGAGCGTTCATTCTCAAATAATTGATAGTATCTAGAGCAAAAATTACTTTATAATCACCTTTTCTTAGTATGCTAATGAACAATAACCTTTGCATTTTTGGTGCAGTTACTGGCATATCATCTCACCGTGTTAAGGGGATACAATGTCGACCAGCCTCGGAATCTTGCAAAGAGCGTGACCACGCAGTGAAGAGCGCTTACCGACATAGTACACATTCTTTTTCCTCTTATTTTTTTCTCCTCGAATTATTTGCTAGAGGAATTAATGAAGCATTTCTGAAATAAAGCAAGGATGGTTTTATCATTTTATGCTGATGGTCTGAAATAACAATCTAACAGTTCTTCAGAGAGAGAGAGAGAGAGAGTCGTACTAAACATTTAGGGACATAATGTTTGATGAAATGCCTCAACCAAAAATGCTACAATTTTATCAGTCCTTGGTTCTTTTCTTGAGTTCATATAAGGCCAAAAGCAGCAGTGAGAATGCTTGGTTTCGACATCAATCTGCATGCCTTGTTTAAGGCTATGATAAAATCAGGTAACTTGAGATTAGTAATTTCCTTAAATTGGTTTACCGTGAGGTCTCCTATAGATTTAGAACGAGTTGAGAATCTATATTTGTTGGAGATACGGATGGGCATGGACCCAAACCCGACGGGATTCGACCTAATCCGGCCCGATCGGGTTGATTTTTTTTTTAATTGGGTTCGGGTCGGGTTTGGGTTTAGGATGAAAATATCCTACCCGACCTGAAAATAATGTAAATTCACCTTATATATTTAAAGGTAATTACAATAATAATTATCTATATATTATTTTTTTGATTACATCATTATTTTTATTGAATAAAAAGAATATTTTTTTATAAATATATTTATTTACGCTCGGGTTTTATTTCAAAAAATTGAGTCGGATTTGGGTCGGGTGAAGTCATCCCTAAACTCATATCGGATTTAGAGTGAAGGATATATATTTTAGGTCGGATCGAGTTGATCGAAAACTTGACTCGGTTCGACCCATGCCCATCCCTACTGGGAGAGCAGTGGCGTTTTAAACTTTTGTGATCTTTACATTTATATAAAAATCTCTCACGACTATATATTGCTTTTATTTTAATCAATAATTAAATTAGATTTTATTATAACTCTAGTAATGAAAGATTATTTGGTAATTAGTTGTTTTTAGATAATAATACAAAATGACCAAAACAGAAACATTTTGAAAGTTTAGTTAGTAAGTTAGGCAATTGAAAATACAATAAGTAAAATATGGGAGAGAGTAAATTTTAATGAGGAATATTGTAATTTACCCAATAAGTTTTATAAGCACAGTTACCAAAATCAATCATGCTTCTTAAATAGATTGGATAAAGCAATCAACTTGTCTGTTTCGGAAATTGGGTTCCACAAATACACCAAACCATACATCGAGTAAATAAAATGGTTGTCCTTTTTTTTTCATATGTTGGGGTAAGGGGAGGTAAGATAGTAGGCTACCCTCAACACCAGATTGAGAGCAGCTTCCGTAAGAGACTTCCGAATTATGAAATGGCCTCCGTGGGACTTGATCTCACGACCTCAAGGTTTAAGTTTTTCACTTTCGATTTGATTCGATTTGACTTCACTCTTTTAAAAAAACTCAATCTAACCCGAGCTAAATCTAAACTATTTTAAATAAAATCGGATCATATCAAATTAGATCATATTGAAATTCGTTAATTTTGGTAAATTGTTATCTTTCAAATCTCTCGTCAATTCATTTTATCTTCCAAATCTCCATATGTTATAGGTAAATTATTGGAATGATCCCTTCCATTATACAAGTATTCACTTTTGGTCATAAAATATAAATAATATTTGATCATTTATATTATCACTTTATAATAGTTTGATTACTTATGTTATCGATTTATGATGACTTAATCACTTAGAAATTAAATATCGTTAGTTCAATGACATGGCACGTTAATAAAAGAGTTGATCTTTAATTTAATTCATAAATTTTAGATAAAATATTAATTTCATCTCTAAAATTTCGATAAAACACTAATTTGACTCTTAAACTTTGGATAAAATACCAATTTTACCCAAAAAAAAACTTATCAAATTCACCTGCTGTCGACCGCTATTTACCACCGCCGACAGTCACAGTCGACCGCAATCACCAACGACCGTTGGACTAGATTTTATGTGTTTGATTGTAGAACTCGATGTCAAATGGGGGATTGATGTCTTAAATTAAACCATACTCATCCAATCAACGTTTTGATTAAAAACTGTGAAATGATCATCGTTCTAATTAAAGACTGTGAAATGATTATCAAGGAGAGCTGGGTCAAGAAAGTTATGTATTAAATACTGGAATCAAACACTGATAAGTTAAATAAAACTGGGAAGGAGATGAATTTAAATAGGGTAAATTACAAATTTGATAATTGAACTTTTATGCGGTTCTTATTTTACTCACCGTACTTTTAAAATTCTCAATTTGCTCACTGAACTTTATACATCGATTTTTTTGTCATTCCGTCGTTAAATAATTAATGGCGTTATGACGTGGAAACTTATACCAAAACAAAGTAGTTTTGGATCTCTAAAACATTTAAATTTAGACCAAAAAGACGTCGTTTTTGTCTAAATAAAAAATCATTTCTTTTTTTCCCCTTCATTTCCCCCTTTTCTCTCTTTATTCTTCTTTTTCATCATCTCATTTTCATTTTCTCATTTCCATTTCCTCTATTGTGGAAGTTGTGGAAGCTGGAACCGACGAAGAAGAAGAAGACGATATGCAAGGAAAATAAAAAAAGATTTTTTGGTATTTTCATCCTCTTTATTTATTTTTTGTTTTCCCTCTTTATTCTTCTTCTTCTTCTTCCTCTTTAGTTTTTGGTATTTTCATTTTTGGATTTCAGAAAGAGAACAAAAACGATTTATTGTGGTTGTTTGGTTCTTGGAATAAATTTATAAGATCTCCATTACTTGTGGATTTTCATGGTTGCCTGATTAATTTGTAGATTGGGTTAGGATTTGGTATGGGTGTAAATTTGGGGATTAGGTTTTTTTCTGCTTGATTAATTTTTATTTTATTAAATAGAAATCTTATGTGGTTGAGTTTTAATATTAAAATAAGCCACATCAACAAGCAGTTAGTTATATAACAGTGGAGTGACAAAAAATCAATGTATAAAGTTCAATGAGCAAATTGAAAATTTTGAAAATACGGTGAGTAAAATAAGAATCGTATAAAGTTTAGTTGTCAAATTTGTAATTTACCTATTTAAATATTTATAAAGTATAGTTGATTCCAAGGGCAAAACTAGGGATGGGCAAGGACGAGGCGGGCCAGTTTTCTAGCGTCCCGACCCCAACATGAAAATCTGTCGCTTATATTTGGCCCCGTATTGCCCCAATAATTTTTACCTTTTCTCACGCCCTGAATCCTCCCCCATTTTTAAATTAAAACCCCGACTCAAATATATTAATATTTTATAATAATTTATTATATTTTTAATAATTAAATAATATATTTTAACATTAAAAAATAAAAAAAAATTTAAAATCTTATATATATATATAATCGGGTTAGGTCAAATCGGTGATTTTCACCTTAAACTCGGCCCTGTTCCACCTCGGACCTACTTATTATAAAACTTGTCTCATCCTTTCCCGAACCTCGAAATTAAAAAAAAGAGATCGATCTATGTAAGATTGGGTAAGGTCGGAACTGTCAGATTTAAGGGTGCGTTTGGTTCGCGGAATGTAAGATTATCAGTGAGAATAAAATATTACCAGTAGAAATAAAAGATTATCAGTGGGAATAAAAGATTACCAGGGAATATGATTACTGGGAATGTTGTATTTTGTGTTTGGTTAGTTTAACAGGAATGTAAGATTACCGTGTTTGGTTAAAGGAATAAAAGATTATTAGAATGTATATTTAACCAAATTGTACTTATTATATACTTGTTTTTTTTAATAAGTTGGAAAATATTTATATATTTTCTTTAAAAATTTTAAATTCATAAAATTTATATAATTTTTTTTACAAAATTAAAAATATAAAAGGTTTAATGAAAGGGTAAAATTTTATTTTAACCCCTAAACTTCATCTAAAATTTTAATTATAGATTTTTTTGTAAATCTAAAATAGTTTAAGGATAAATTTGTAATTTAACCTTTATATAATTTTTATTATTCAATGACAGAATAATAATATTTTTTAAAGAAAAAAAATTAAGTGAATTTTAGTCCAAAACGCCGGTAATCTAATAATACCTGAAGAAAGAGAGGTAATGACATTCCCGGTAATATATCCCAAAAAATCCACTATTGGTAATGTAAGATTACCGGAAATGACATTCCCGATCAACCAAACGGAAAATATGGATTCTATTCCTATAAGAATTTCACATTCCTCAACCAAACACACCCTAGATATTTTAACCCTCCCTAGGCCAAACTCGACCCACCCCACCCCACCCCACCCCTTGCCATGCCTACTTGTGGTTGTAGATTAAAGCTTAAATGGCTTCATTAATGCATGGAATAAACTGGGAATGTTGATTTAATATTCGAATAAGATCAAGTCAAATTTTATTCACCGAAGCGTATGATTGAACATCGTATCAAGCCTCTACATATACACCTGTAAATATGCCCACTTGATACACACATATATCCATCCTTGTCTTCCTTGATTTCTTTCCTTTTGGTTGAAGATGATGGCAAATCCAAAGCATCAATGGAGTTGGAAGCTCTCAAGCAGACGATGAAGACACAGAGATTAGCATTTTCGATGCCCAGAGATTCTTCGACGAGACCAACACCAATGCAAGATTGTGCAAAATAATTTCTCCGGTGAAGGATCCTATTTCATCGGAGCTTCGGTGTGATATTCCCGCCTCCGCATTAGCCGGCCGATTCTCGTCTGCTTCATCGGCTGCCGATGGGTACGGTTATGGCAAGAGCCACCGTGCTCGTTCCTTCCATGCAACACCAACGGCTTCTTCCGAGGCTAGTTGGAACAGCCAGGCTGGTTTGTTATCGAATCCTCATGGCGCGGTACCGGTGTCTATGAACATGAAGACTCTTAAAATATCTGATCAGAAGACAAAAGGGTCCGGTAAAATGAGGTGGATTTGGGGTCTGAGGTGCCCTTGCTCCGGCAAGAAGTCCGTTAAAGTCGAGCACGAAACACCCTCGGGTTCGAATCGGAAACACGATATCTGACACAATAATCAGATCTATTAGCCTGTAATCCTCACAGGATCTCAGCAGAGAATATTCACCGTGTGATTGCTTCAGCAACAACAAGACCCCCGATGATAGATGGTGGCTCCGCCGGTACTACCTCCGGTTTCAAGTTTCCAATACTTATTAATAGAAACCATAATTCTCTCGACGATCACAACGATCCACCTCGAGACCCGTTGGAGGTGTTCCGACCAGCCGAAGAATCTAATCCAAAGAAACCGGTTGCCCGAACTTCCATAGTCAACGATAAAGTTGGCAGCGATACCAGCTCCGACTTGTTCGAAATCGAGAGCTTTTCGACATCGAATCCACCGTGCCACCGTCGGGATTCGTTGGACGAGGCGTCCAGCTTCAACATAAGAAGATCCATAGGAGCTTCGGGCAATGTCTCGGGGTTCAGTTGCATGCACCTATTCGCTGATGGCCGCCGAGTGCTACGAACCGAGCGAGGCGAGCATAGAATGGAGCGTGACGACGGCGGAAGGGTTCGAGAGAGGATCGGAAGCGGGGGAGATGATGAACACGAGGTTGGCAATGGTGGTGGTGGTGAGAGGAAGAGATCGGGGTTGTTGAGATGTCGGTGGCAGAAGGCGGTGAACGTGGGGCCAAATCCGGTGAAGTTCGTGCCCCCTCACGGACAGGCAGCGTGCCTCATCAAAGCATGTGGCCAATGTGAACAAACCAACGCTTGCCCGTTTGTCGCTGCCTTTTGCGGCATAAGACATCTTTTCTCCTCTATTATTTCATATATTTTGTGTTCTCTTCCTTATTTGGTATAATAACAAAATTATCCTCGACGTTTGTACAATAATCACTTTGGCCTTTATCTTTTTTTGGGAAGTATTTTAGCACCAATGTTTTATTTTACAGCAAAATGCGTAATGGGTAGATAGAAATCGTTAGTTGACTAACGATCAATGTTTCCTATTAATATGACATATCCATATGTGATGCCACATCATCAAAATATATATTTGAACTGTTTTTAAATATATTTTTATAAGTGTATATGTAATTAATTATAATTATAGTTTGCTCTAATTTTTTTTGTTGAAGTAGCATAACACATGGACTTGTCACGTCTATATAAAACATTGACAGTTAGTCAACTAACAATTTTTGTCCGTATAAAACATTGACAGTTAGTCAACTAACAATTTTCATTCAATCAGGAGACATTTTACTCCAAAATAAAACGTTGAGGGTTAAATGCTTCAAAAGAAAAAAAGATAAAGGAGAAAAATAACTATTTATACAAACATCGAGAGTAATTTTACTATTATACCTTTTTAATTCTTATACCAAAATTTACCCATGCTATTTTTGTGGTTGCAGTTGTTGCATGAATACTTTTTTCCCTTTAGTTCTAAGGTTTCGTCTTGATTAATCTTGATCAAATTGGGTCGCACACCTAGTTTTAGTAGGTGATTCTCCCGGCAGAGATTTCTACATACACAATGACTTGAACATGAGATCTTGCTTAAACAATATCAAACTGGTTACCACTTGAACCAAACTCCGTTTATAAATTGCATGAATAAATTATAGGAGTACTAAATATTTCTAAAATACAATATGTAATGTGTGTGTACATTTTTATAGGGTTAACATATAAAATTTATACATCTATGTACTATTAATATACTAAATGTTGCCATATTATTAAAAATAATCATGTTAAATTTTTATAGTAAATCATCATTTAATTCACTAACTATATATAAAATTATATATTATTAATATATTTGTAGTAGATTACGAATTATATTCTCTTCTAAGTATTACAATTGTTATGTTTCTAAAGATAATTTTTAAAACTTTCGTTGTATCTTTTTTTTTCCTTAATTTTTGAAAGAATAAATTACGCATTTAGTACTTAAACTATCGGTTTTGATTCATTTTAGTATCAAAATTTTATTTTTTTTTTCAAAATCATACCCAATGTTTAGTTTATATTTCATTTTAGTACCCCATCATTAAAAACTTAACGCATTTAGTACCTAAACTATCAATTTTGATCCATTTTAGTACCTAAACTTTCATTGTTTTCAAAATCTAATGTTAAATTTTGAATGAGGTATTAAAATAAAACAAAAACTAAACTTTCGGTATAGTTTTGAAAAATTAAAAGTTTAAGTACTAAAACATACCAAAACTGATAGTTTAGATGCTAAAAAAAGTATATTTTACCCTTTTAAAAATGAGATTAACATTCAGGTGTAATACATGAGATAAAATTAACCAACAGGGTTGGTTCAAGTGGTAAGTTAAGCAATGTCTCGAGTTCGAGTTCTTCTGTATGTAGGAAATCCCTGCCGGAAGACTTACCCACCAAAGGCAGATGTATGACGTTGGTCGGTCTGGATTAGTTAAGGTAAATTTTTAGAAACGAGAGGGCAACAAAAAAAATCAAATATATAAAGAGAAAAGAGATGAATATGATGAAGGAAAAATAGTGTGCACTAGCGTAAAGTATAAGATTTTGTAATATGTACTCTGACAAATGCATTCAAAGGTTATCTTTGAGGATTAAAGTGCATCCAAGTCTCAGCCCTTGGCCTTTAAATTATTATCAAAACTATCATAGTTGAACTTCTGCCAATGAGCTGGATATTTAACACCATCCATGTTGTGTTTAGCACCCATTTCCATGTCTAATTTGTTGTCCTTGATTGCAAGATTGTCATCTTCTGTGACCCATGCCCTCAACTTGAGCTGTGATGGTGGAATCCTTGTAAATAAAACTTCTGTGGAGTTCCTTAGTGCACCTTTATTAAAGGGATTATTCTTTTTTTCGTATCGGTAACGAAAGCTTTCATAGGTTGTCTGGTCAAGTTCAAATTTCATGCATAAACCAACGAATTTAATTAATTATAGTATTTATATAATTAAATAAGGCATAATGACAAAAGAACATCTCTAGTATTTGATTCAATAGTCATATCGACTTCTATTCTTTTTCTTTTTGAGAAACTTTAATCCCAAACATATCATTTTGGAACAAAAATATTGTTTTGTGGATGAAAATTATTAGTCGACAAATGACCAACACTCCAAAATAAAGACATTTTTATGCTAAAATGAAATATTCTGGGTTAAAATACTAAAATAAAGAACAAATTCAAAAATGTTTATTTACTCATATGATAGGGTCCTTTTACTATGAAAATGAAATATTGGGGTTAAAATATTCAAGAAAAAATAGTGATTAAAATGATTATTTAGTAAAACGGGACATTTTGTTTAGGCTTAATATAAAAATAAGTGCCTAAATTATACTTAAAATTGATTTTTGGTGCCTAAAGAATTTTTTGTTAAAATAAGTTTTTAATGTTTTCTTTGTTACACTTTTAGGTGTCTACCGTTAAAAAACAGTTAAACGACACGTGTCAAATATATATATATATATATATATATATATATATATATATTTTGATTTTTTTTTAAAAAATACTTAAATATATATTTATTAAAAAAATCTGAATGTAACAGTGTCACTTAATGATTTTTTAACGGTAGGTACCTAAAAGTGTAATGGAAAAAACATCATGCACCTATTTTTAACGAAAAATTCTTTAGACACCAAAAGTCAATCTAAGTATAGTTTAGGCACTTATTTTTTTTATATAAAACCTTTTGTTTAATATTATTAAATAACCAACAAAACAATATGGTTTGGGAGGATTAAGAAAGAAGTTAATCACCTGGTTAGTCCAAATGAGATAGAAATGGAAAACTGTTAGGCCTCCAACAAACCAGATGGCTAGGAAGCAATAGATGATGAGCACCACAGATAGTATATCACCAGACATGGCACTCCACAGGCCCCGCGGTTGTCGGAGAATGTTGATCCACGAACACGAGAACACATATATACACAATGTAGTGGAAGATGATATAAAACAAATGAAGAAAGGGTAGTTGCGCTGCAAAATCATATTATATGGACTACTTCATTATTTCCAGCATACACCTTGTAGTTTATCAGCTATGTTTTGGCTTTATCTATGCATGCAATATTTAGGCTATAGTTTTTTTTTCTTGGGGTGATTATAAGGTAATATATTCTCAAACTCTTTCTTACCTATTAATAATGAACGCACACCTTACAAACACAACTGTTTAGACCCGAATCTTCTAAGAAAAATAACATTTCCTACTGAGGCCACGTAATGAGTTCGGGTATACTTGGTTGATAGGAATGGTGGAATGATGGGAAGAAAGAGTAGTATAACGTTTTTTTCTGGGTAATTATCAGGTAATATTTTCTCAAAATCTTTCTTTCCTATCGACAATGTATATATACCATTTAGACCTAACTGCTCAAACCAACAACAAAGATGGGTCTTCTAAGAAAACCAACATTCCCCCCTAAGGCCACTTAATGAGTATAGGTATAACTGGTTGATAGGAATATGGAAAGAAAGAGTAACTTAGGGTATAGGTTTTTTTAGGTGATTATAAGATAGTATCTTTTCAAAAAAATTCTTATCTATTGACAACGTACACACGTCCTACAAACATAGCTGCTCAAACATGGATCCTCTAGGGAAAACAACATTTCCTACGAAGGCTACTTAATGATGGAAAGAAAGAGTAACTTAGGGTCTAAGTTTTTTTTCTATGTGATTATAAGTTAGCATCTTTTCAAAATCTTTCTTATTTATTGACAACATACACACACTATGCAGACTTAGTCGATCAAACCCAAATCCTTTAAGTAAAAAACATTTCCCTCTGAGACCACTTAATGAGTTTGGGTATACTTAGTTGATAGGAATGGTGGAATGATGGAAAGAAAGAGTAACTTAGGGTATAGCTTTTTTTTGGGTGATTATAAGATATCTTCTCAAATATTTTTTTATTTATTGACAATGTATGCACCCTGTAAACGTAGTTACTCAAATTCGGATCTTTCAGAAAAAAAAATCATTCTCTATTGATTCCATTTAATAAGTTCATTTAATAAGTTCAGGTATACTTGGTTGATAGGCATGGTGGAATGATGGAAAGAAAGAGGAAATCGAAAGTAAACTTACAAGTCCAATGCATTGACCCACCCATGGACAATGGTGATCGAACTTCTGCACACAGTTGTTGCAAATAGAGCAATGGGATGCTCGAGGAGTACGATACAGCAGGCATGTTTCACAAAACTTGACTTTAACCGTTTCACCATTCTTCAACAACACATCCTTCAGCTTTGGGATTTTGAGGTTCGGTTTGTTGTTGGCCCAGTCCCATGGTTTAGCCCCATCCAACGCTGGTTCGGGTGGTTTTGAATTCCTGGGTATTATTCCAGGATCTCCACTACTTGTCAGGAACAGGAAACTAAAATCCTGCACGCAAAAACATAGTCATTCATGTGTACCACAACTAATTCAGTGAAGAAAGAAGGGTGAAGAGAATGAAAAACAATCAAGTACATATTTTACCAACCAAAACAAGGAGGACGAATCCCCCGATCATTATGTGGAAGTGGAAAGAATCATTGGCCTTCATAGTCACCAACATTTTTATGCAGAATGCCAATGAAGGGCCTCCAATTAGAAACGAAGTTAAGAAGAGTGAAGATGCATCGGGGCCCATCAACACTCTACCACCACAACAAAATTTCTGTCATTGAAAAACATCCACTTTTGTTCATTACTCCAAGAGGAAGTTTGGTATTAGCTTATATACTAGTACATAACTCATCTTCATTCAAAGCAATCATTGAAAGGAAAATGCAGCAGGCACGGAAGGAAACAATTAGTGATTGTCTTTAAATTTAGGGTAAACTACTTATTTAGTACCTAAACTATCGGTTTTAGTCCGTTTTAGTACATAAACTTTTAATCTTTTAAAAATTATACCTAAAGTTTAGTTTTTGTTTCATTTTAGTATCCCACCTTAAAAGCTTAACACTTTAAATACCTAAACTATCAGTTTTAGTCCGTTTTAGTACTTTAAAAAAATTCAAAAATTAACATTAAATTTTGAACATGGTACTAAATGAAACAAAAACTAAACGTTAGGGATTGACCGAGGGGTGAGGGCAGGGTCATTGTCCCCTAAAAATTAAAATTGTCATATATTTTAGATTTTTTTTCTATGTATTTTTTATTGAAAATATGTTTTCGCTCCCACTAAGATTAAGTTTGTACCCTAACATAAAATCACGCGTCCGTCCATGAAAACAGAAAAAACTCCAGACTCTACGAAGTTCTCCAAACTATTATCCTAACTTTCTACATTCTGAATTTCAACCTGAATCTAAAACTTTACTATCAACTCTATTACAATACACCTTAGATTATCATTATCAAGAAACATGAAAGATCCATTCATTCTTAAAAGGGAGACAAGCCTAAAAAACCCTACATACAACAGAAAATACCTTGCATTATAACAAAAATATGCTTAGAAGAAGAGAAGTTAAAGCTTACAATCCATGACAGAGAAGAGATATAAGATTCATCATCTGCAAAAAGGATCAAACCATAGAAAAAGAGGGGAATAGAGATAAGGAAGAAAAATACATTATTCCCTTGCCAAGCTTGATAAATCCTCTTGGGCGTGGGTTTAGGAGGGGAGCTTTCCATGTCAACGGAGGAAGAGTCATAAATTTGGTTCTTCTTATTTCTAAATAACCCCATTTTTTCGGGTATTTTTATTCGAAAACAAAGATGGAAGCTATCTGAAAAAGGGCGATGATGAACACCCAGAAGGGAGAAAACCTGAAAGCCAAAACTGAGAAAGAAGAATCAACAAAAACCACAACGAAACCCCCCCAAAAAAACTATAAGAATGAAAAAAAAGGGTCAGAAAGGGGTTTTCTTCATTGCTTAAAAGGCATCGTAGGAAAGCGAATGACGATGATATCAAACGCTTGCTTTAAGTGGTGTTTGATGTTCTTCTCTCACATTTCTCTCTGCAATTTTCCTTATTAACGATCGTTGGGATTTGGCTTACCAGATGATCATCATCATCATCTCCTTACACTTTTATCTTAACTAACTTTTGATATGCGTCCCCCAAGACTTTCTAAATTGGAGCGGGCTTTCCGCACCCCAAACTAAACAACTTTATTAAAAAATAGTTATATTGTAAAAATAATTAGAGAACAAATAATTTTGAATAATAATTATTTATTATGATAAATGAAATTGAGTTAATATTAAAAAATGAAGATTCAATCTTAGCCATATATTTTCACCCATACAACCATCTTAAATCTATGTAAAACTAAAGAGTTTTACATTGTGTAAGTGAATCCTAACCCCATATATATATATATATATATTAGTTTAATATATTGTGAAGTTACTTATAATAAGCAGTTGGTCTACTGAGACGATATACTAGATTTTTTGAGTAACATCAGATGTTCAAATCTTGACGTTTGCAAATGGAGAAAGCTGGGTAGAAGGGTCACCCTCGCCTCTACATTGTCCGATTTGGATTAACCAATCAATAGATCAAATACAAGTGATTAATTCAAATATATTGTGAGGTGACTTTTCATTCCTCTTACACCTTACCATACAATTCTCAATATGAGATGGTAATATGATCAAAATGAGGATCACTATCTTCATATTATTGTCTTCTTGAAATTCTCCAAATCAACTACGATGGCTTAGAGTGGTCTTGGAGCACTTGAATGTTATACTAGGCAGGGATAGACGTAGAATTTTATGTTAGGGACGAACCTCTAAACTTTTAGAAAGGGCGGATTTATAAAATTTCAAGATACGAAAACAAATTTCTAATAGAAAATGTATAGAAAATTTTTAAAAATACAAGATAATTTTAAATTTTCAGGGGATAACTGTCCCAATCCCCTTCGGTCCATCCCTGATAGTAGGGTTATGAATTTCTTCGTCTTCACATAGTTGGAGAATGGGCTCTTAGAACATATAGGTTCCCCTTGATTGGAACTCAGTACTCCTACTTGAATGAGATCTCTGACTCTGTGTTTTAATGCGCCATAATTATTTGTGGTGTGTATGTTCTTGACATGCCAAGTTTGAATTTAATCAACTCTTGGTGGATTTAACATGAAATGACCATCCAACTCAGTTGGTAGAGCACAATGTTCTTAACTTTGGGATTGTGGGATCGAGTCCTACGGAGGGCATTTTCATAATTTGGAGGTTTCCTACAGAAGCTGCTCTCAACTTGGCATTGGGGGCAGCCTACTATCCTACCTCCCCTTATCTCATTACATATGGGAATGAGGGTCAGCTAAATTTTTGGTGGATTTAGCATGAGACCCTTGAACGAACAACTTCCCACATTTCTTAAAACTTCTTTAAGATATTACCTTATAGCTATGTTTTGGTTTATCTAATCGTGGAACTCCCTATTGATTTATGATTTTTTTTAATTAAATAATCTTTAGGTATTTGTAAAGACGTCTTCTCGTTCTCGATCTAATTGACCTTTGACTCGATGAAAGTATTTTCGTCTTTGATCTTTTGGAAGAAGTCTTCAATCTATTCTATAACTCTTCTTCGTGCGTTTATTTGACAAATAAAATCTAACCATATGATTTCTAGTTTACACACATTTACTTGCAGAGATATCTATTCTATAAACTTAAAGTTGATAATAAAGTTTAAAGTCGATTTCTCTTTCGTGTACAGTTAATTAGATACCCTCTAATGAACAAAGTTGAGGCATGGCTTTGGACCGGGTGGGCTTTTTTTTATTGATTACATGCAGAGTTTCAGGTGAGCTTTGGACTAGATTTTCACATGGAAATATTTAGTTATTTCTTAATATATATGTTTGTTCGGTGAATTCAAAATAAAATGAGTTATTATGTCGGTCTTTACCATGCATGGTTTACATGTAGTTATCTCCAAATTTTATAATGGTCTAAGGGGCTATTTGTTTTCCTCTTAATGGAACCATTCAGCGCTGAATGTTGAACCGTTAAATATTCAGCGCGTTTGTTTCGCACCTCTGAATGATTCAGTGTTGACTGATTCAGCAGAACAATGCTGAATGATTCAGCACAGAAGTACATTCTGAATGATTCAGAGCCATTATCAAACAACAAGTCACATTCAGAACTAATTCATACAGAGCCTCTGAATCATTCAGCGCTTAATCATTCTGAAGTAAACAAACAGCCCCTAAGTAATCTATTGCTATAGTATGCAATTATTTGGTTTTGAACAATATTTTAATAATTTGGTATAAGTATTTTGATTTTGACTTTAGATTTAGTTTGGGTGTGATATTGTTGTAATTTGTGACTATTTGGTTTTGATTTTTTGTATCATACTTTAGTTTAATTTGGAGAATTCATAATTAAGAATTTTTTTTAGGAATAGTCAAAGATTTAAGTTTTTAGGTTTTTAACCTTTTTTTATACAACCTTATTACGGGTTACTTCGGAAACCATGACGTGATTAGAAAATTCAGTTTTGATTTTTGGTTGTTATAGATTATAGAATATATATTTGGTATTGATATATTTGATTGAGTTTGATTAAATATTTTATTCAATAGTATATACTTTGACCTTGACTTTTGGTTAAATGTTGATTGTTTTAAATTTGGGTTATCTTTCGTAATTTGCGAAGTTATGAATTAAATGCATGTTTAAGGATTTTTTTCAGAAACAATCAAACTTGAGTTTTCGATTTTTGATAGCATCATTTATGTAACCTTATTTTGGGTTATTTATGATACTATAGTACAATAAAAAACCTCAGTTTTGACCTTTGATTGTTATAGAAATATTAAAATTTGAATTTGAGACGGCATAATTAAAGCAATAAGTTGTTAAGTTACTCGAATTAAGGAAATTATTTTATTTTAAATATGAAAGATTATGTGCATGTAACTTAGGATATGTTAAAATTGATCGACTCACAGGAAGATAAATAGTTGACATAATCGCATGTACAACTTTGGTAATAAGCATGTGATAATTATTCGCTTTGATGTGTGAGTAATAAATCGACACAAAGGAAGTTTTTGCTTGACATGTTCTTATTATCAATGTTTTGTTACCGCACTAGATATCACTTAAGGTGAATATTTTATCTAAAGATGAAATATTAATAGAGTATCTGATATCTTAAGATAATGTTTTAGTGTATTCAAATTTATTATTATTTTAGTTATCTTTCAATTTACTTGAAAGATAAAATTAAGAGAAATTGATTGGTTGACAATATTAATGTGGTTTAATTTATATTGTTAAGCAATATATATGTATATATTCAATCCAGTTTTTCAGTTTTGATTTTTGGTTATTAGGATATATATATTTTGAAACAAATTAATTCATATGATGAATATGTTTGATATTTTGATAAATTAGTTTAAACATAATATCGCCAAAGTGACCTCTTTTGTGTAGACTGGTTTATTTAGAATATCAAGATGATATGTGTTTCTTGTGATTCATGTGTTTATTAATGGACCCGAAGGAAAGTTAATATTTGGCCAGATTTCAAGCGACACTTGTTGTAACACCCCAACCCGTATCCGACCCGGATCCGAGTTCGAAGTGTCACATCGACCTTTCAAAAACCTTTACTTGTATAAAATAGTGAGTAATTTAAAATTTATTATTACATATAACTTATTCAAAATCTTTATCGAACTATTCAGAGCTTATACAATATATTATCTTGAATACATGCCAACTAAAAATTTATGTATTAAAATACTTATTATTCACCTTTCTTCTGATATGACCTTTGGTAAGAAGAATTGACTTGTCTTGCTCCACATTGCTCTTTACTCTTCTCACTTTGGTAACCAACGTGTGAAACAATCACACACTAAGTCGATGACTTAGTGAGGCAATAAACATAAAATATAAACTATAGCTTGTAATCATGTATGAACCATTACTACTATCACTCATACCCTTATTCATGTAACGAATCCCTGTAACACATATGCAATATATATATCATTACATATAAAAACATATACACACATATATCCCTCACTCATCATTTCTATCATTAGCCTTATTTCACTATCCATATTACTATCATTTATATGTGTTGATCATATCCTCTTGAACTTAACCTTGTTAACCAACATATGCTTCGTGTAACCAAACAATACACATATCATCATATGACTCGTGCAATACACATATCAACATATATCACAAAACCATATTTTTCACATGTAATATATTTATTGTTATATCTTTGTCTAGCCCATGTACATTTATGAGAACTATAGATATGTGAGTTTATAGAGGTTGTGCACTAATGCTGTCACCACAGCTCGTATAAATGCACCGAAATGCCACGTAGAATTGCACCGTAGTACCGCGTAGAAATGCACCGAAGTGCCATATAAGGTTGTCCCTAAGGACCACATATCATTCCTTAAGAATCATATACATATGCCAAGGATCAAGTATGTGTCTCAAAAGACCTCACACATGTTCCGAAGAATACATATATGTCCCGAAGGACCGCGTAGACCCTCGACTCTTGGCATGCCAACTATACCTCTAGCTCTCATGACACATAACATGGGCATTAATCTTTATGTTATCATACAGTCACATATACACATAGTCTTTTTATTACATTTTTATAAGATCACACGTAGTCAAGTAGTTCATTTCCATATAAATCACATACACATAGATCACTTGCACGTAGAACATCTTTATATAATCATATGATTCACTTTCACTTATCACATATACTTTTTCTTTCATATATCTCATGGCATATATCACATGGCTCTTTATTTCATTCTCATATGATCACATAACCATGTAGTTCCATTCTCCTATCACTTTGCATGGTTTTACATAAATATATATCATACCTTATTCATATATATATATATATATATATATATCCACAAATACATATAAGCCCATATTTTCTTAACTTATAACTTACGTTACATATGCATGTAATCTTATGACTTATTGTTAAATAACTCAAATAACATTGTATTATTACATACTTTGTTCCATATCCATATA